TTATTTATTTATTCATGAGAGACATACAAAGAGAGAGAGAGAGGCAGAGACACAGGCAGAGGGAGAAGCAGGCTCCATGCAGGGAGCCCGATGTAGGACTTGATCCTGCAACTCCAGGATTATGCCCTGGGCTGCAGGTGGCGCTAAACCACTGCGCCACTGGGGCTGCCCCCTTCTGTATGTTTTTAATATGTAATAACTATTTTAAGGAAGTGAAAGGAGAAAAAGAAAAACTTCTGGAGGTTTCCAGGGAAAATGAAGAGCCATGTGGATTGCTGGACTCCACTGATGGTTTTACTCCTCGTCATTCCTTTCTGCCCCTTGACACTCAAAATAGTTCAAACCATTTGAGGTTTCTGGAACTTCTCTGAACTCGAGGTTCATTTGACGGCAGGGTGCTTCCAAGAGCCAACACCAGCCCTAAAAACCTCAGAAGAAGCTCCACACTGGGAAACATACCAAATAAGCAATTAGTGAATAAGTGAATAGGTTTCCTATTAAGAGATTACGGGGATCAGGGCAAGTTTGGGTTAAGAGGTCCTTTAGAAACCTTAAAACTTTGCCTCAAGAACATGCTCCCAGGTCATTTCAAGAAATCTTTCAGGGCAAAAGAAACCACTGATTGTCTCTCTGCTTTAAGAGAGGCTGGCAACCTCCTAGAGTAGAGCAGAGTAGTGGAGAGCCCAGTTCGGGAAGGAAACAAACCCATGCTTGCATCCTGGCTCCCACTCACGAGGCCAACTTTGCACAGGGTACTTCATATTTTGAAAGCATCTATAAGGCTGGGTTGGTCAACCCCCCGAGGGTGGTTATGAAGGCCAACGGTGTTTATAGACTAGAACAGTGCCCACGCAGAGAAAGGTCTTCACAGTTCCAGAGAAGATGGGCTCCGTCATCTGTCTTAGGGCCAGCTCCCCACGGCATGGCAGATCTCGTCCAAAAAAGGCTCTTGAAGAGGTCATGTCATCCTCCTGAATACATTTCCTTAGGCTTCTCAAAGGCTCTTTCCTCAAAATCCTCAACACCAACACCACGACGTAAGTACCTGCTGGGTCACCCCTGGTGGAGATGATGGGTCCTCTCTGCTGACACTAGAATCCCAGTCCCACAGGGTCATCTGGACAGTTGGTCAGAAGTCCCAGACACAGTGGCCTACACCGTTGTGTCTACTAAGATTGTGGCCCAGATGGGGCAGGAGACGGGAGTAGGTAGAAGGGGACTGTTTGTAATGACTTAGAGACGCAGCTGAAATCTCAACCTCCAACCACCCACCAGGACAATATTTTCACCATTTTCCCAAATCCAATTCTTCATGAGGAGATCCCCTCTGTCTTCCTCTCTCTCTTGCCCTTTCTGCCAAAATAGCTCTCCTCTGGGAACAAATAGTTCTGTTTCTTCCTTGGAATGCCTCTGGAAGCCAGGAACTCTTATCTCCCTCAACAACATTCTGGCCAGTGCTCGGAATGTGATTTACATTACTGACCATGAGCACAGGAGAACAAAACAAAGGAAGGGCTTCCCAGTAGAGCACGAAGGAGGCAGGGCAGAAAGGGCTGGGGTGGGAGAGAAAGAGTGAGAGCAGAGTTTCTGGGGCAGCAAGGGGTCTGCACCACTGCCCTCTGCTCCCGCACACAGCTGGGAGGAGTGAACGCGTCCCTGCAATCCTCTCGTGGGCTGAGGGTGATGCAGTGGCATCTGGAGAGCCTGAGGAGAGACGTGCTGCTCTTCTGGGATTTGTCGCTAGGACTGCGGGCTTCGGGGCGGACTCACTCAGCAGTGCAGGGGCAAGCCAAGGAGTCACGGAAAGACTCTCCAGGTCACACACGCTGCCCCTGGCACGCCAGCTCAGCCTGCTGGGGACCAGCCAGGGCTCGTTGGGCAAGGGGAGTGAGGCCCAGGGAGTCAAGACCTTTTTGCAATTATTGAGGGTATTTCTCCACTGGGGCAAGAAAGCATTCCTCTCCTGCAGATGGATTACAAAGAAAATTGTTCCGGCCTCTCTTCAAAGGCCAAGAAGGTTAGGAAACTGTTCCTTCCTTCTCCAGAAAGCCTGAAAATTCAGGCAGATTGGTCTGCCCCAGATAGCTTCAGTGAGACATGCTACCCCCTTACCTTACTTGGCTCTCCCAAACCCCCTAACTGGCTGCAGGGTGGGACCCGGGCTACCCTCCTTCTTTTATTTGCTGAGCTCCTGCAACATAAGACATACACGTTCCTGTCTGTTCCTGACACTGAACTCCTAAAACCCTTTAAATTTCCTGAGTAATAAGGGGACTAGCAGCATCTTGTTCTGTTGGGACTTTGACCCTGGTTCCTGACACAGGGCTCCTAAATCCCTTGGTTTCCTGAGCGACAGGAGTGGTTTTTTGTTCTAATAAGGTGACCCTAGGTGGGCTTCTGGATAATTTCAGGATGGGGACTTGTCTCCGAAAGACCAAGCCATGATTACAAGCTGAGCATTTTCAGTCCAACCCCCATCCTCCAGGGAGAAGAGAAGGGCCGGAAATTAAATTAACAATTGATCATGCTTATACGAGAAAGCCTCCCCAAAACTCCCTAAGCCGCAGGGATGGGAGAGCTTTTGCATCGCTGAACACGCCAGGAGGGTGACACAGCCCACCTCCACAGCGACAGAAGCTCCTTCACTCTGGGACCCTTCCTGACCCTGCCCTCTGTCTCTCTTCATCTGGCTGTTCATCGATATCTTTTATTTATCCTGGATAATAAACCAGTAAACATGAGTAAACGTTTCCCTGAGTTTTGTGAGCCGACCCAGCAAGTTATCGAACCTCCCCAGGGGCTGTGGGAACACTCAACTTTGTAGCTAAGTCAGAAGAATGGGGACCCTGGGGACCCACTGCTCGTGACTGGTGTCCAGAGCACAGGCAATCTCCTGGGACTGAACCCTTAAACCTGTAGCATCTGATGCTAATTCCAGCTAGTTAGTGTCAGAAATGACTTCAATTCTAGGACACTCAATTGGTATCTGGAGAGTTGGAAAATTGGTCGGCGTGGGAAAACACACACACACACACACACACACACACACATTTGGTGTCAGAAGCATTGTAAGTAGAGAAATCATTTTCGTTTACCCAGAGACCAACCCGTGGGAATCTTCCTCAGAAAGGTTTTCCTGGCAGTCGCTTCAATGCAAAACAGAAGGGGTAACAAAAATAAAATAACAAGCCCAAATATGCCAATGCCTTAAGACATTTCACAAAGACCTTAAAGTTGCTGACTTCTAGCTCAGACAAAAGCCCTCCTGGTCCCATCCAGGCCTCCGACTAGCTCCTCTTGTCAGGTGGGCTCCTCTGGCTGGCTCCTCCTTCCACCAGAAGCTTCTATCAAGTGCTGAAGCTTTGCCCAAGCTCCTACTCCGGCCCCGTCGCCCTGGGCCCCTGGGTCTGCAATCAGCCCCTGAAGAAGGCACGCACCCCGCGGCCGCGCCCTGCAGGAAGGGCATGAGGGGAGGCCCATTCGTCTCCGAACCCCACGATCACCTGCCGAAGTGTAAACCATCACTGTGCCTCGACACCCAGACCGCTGAGGCTGGAAGCCCCCTAGATAAATATTAAATCTACCTTTGTCACTCTGCAGGTAGAAAATGGGGTCCCAAGAGATCTCAGTTCTAAGACCAAGGCAAGTCTCTGGACTCCGAGTTGGGTGTCCAGAAGGGGCCACACTGCTCCCCTGCCCGTGTGTTTGCTAACGTTTTCGGACCAAAGCAGGACTGAGAAGAGGGAAACATTCCTCAAACAGAATGAAACTTTCCCTTGGGAAATGGGATTTCCTCCTGAGATGGGCACCTGGGAGACTGCACCTAAGGGCCCCTCCAGCCTCTCCTCGTGCCTTGGGCCCTCACCATGATCCAGCCCCGCAGGCCTCCTCGGACCCTCCTGCGCGCCCGCTCCTTCTGGCCACCGAGGCCCCAGTGTGCTGCCCCTCTGCTGCACGGCCTGCACCCCGTCCACGGAGCCGTGTCCCAGCCTCCGCCAGCCTTTCCCAGACCGAGCTTCTCGTTCTTGGCATCAGTTTCTCTCTCGTCCTCGCACCTACCACATCTGTCACCATTCTGGATCTTTCTTCCCGACTGTCTGCTCTGCCTCCGCAGCTAGCCCGGGGGCTGTGCGGGAACAGAAGGCCGTGCCCGTCCCAGTTGCCATCGCACCGTGACCCCCGGGCCCACGCCTGGCACGTCGAGCTTGCTCCGCACATATGGCAGATGTCTGCGTGAGTGGGATGAAGTCACAGAAGCAGGACACGGGTTTTAAATACTTACGACTTTATTAGGAGCAGGCTGTTGTCCCCGCAGCAGCCAGCTCCCTGTATACACAGTATACACAGCCCAGCCAGTACCCAGGTCCTTCCGTCCTTCTGCAGCACGTGCAATGCAGAAGAACCAAATGCAAAGGGGGGCTCCGTGAGTGACAGTTTCTAGTGCCTTCGGGAGCCAGGTCCCAGGCTGGGAACAACCAAGCCCCTCAGCTCACCCCAGCCCTGACTCCCGCACGGCGAGGCTCATAAGGCCGGACTCCTCCAATCAGTGCACACAGAGGGCAGAGGAGGCAGGGGGCTCCTGAGCCCAGGTCCTTAGCGGTCCGCACCCCAGTGGGGGGAGAAGCTTCTGGAGCCCCCCAGAATCCTCCTCCTCTTCCACAGACATGAGATACCACCTTAACTTTTTATCCCATCACCAGAAACCTGTGCCTCGAGGCTTGTCTCTGCTCAGCCTTGGAGAACATGGTTGGATTAGCAAACTGGTCAAAGGTAACACAAACCTCCCAAGTTGTCTTGGTCATACTTCTTTTAAAAAGGGAGAAAAAAAAAAAGGAAAAAGAAAACCATCACGACAGAAAAGAGCATGTGAAGCCCAGCTTGTGTCAGGAACAAGATAGGTTGTCCCTCCTTGAAACGATGCATAAAGCTGCTCTGCCAGGGACCAGTCACCCCTACAGACGGCAGCTCCCCCCCACCCCGTCCCCCGCCCCTTCCGCACATCCCCGCGCCACCCTCTCCTCCCCGAGGATGGGTGCACCAAGCGCAGGGTGCAGTGCTATCGTCGCCTAGAGGGAGTCCCCAGCAGCCCCGGCGCCCTGGGCTCCTTCGGATGGTGCAGGTCCCACAGCGTCAGGCAGGCAGGCAGGCAGGAAGACTCGTCTCCGCTTCACTCTTCAGGGGTGACTGCAGCCCGGCCCCGACATGTGCACCCCTGGGCCCCGGTTGGACCACCATCCCCGAGGCTAGCCTGGATGGCTGGTTTGTGGATCCTGGCTAGTAAGGGAAGCCGAGTCAGAGGACTGACCCCGTCCCCAGGGAAGACGCTGGAACAGCTGCGCCTCAAGAAATACCCTGCTTGACCAAAGGCTCTCAAACCCCAAAGCATCTTCCCACTTGCAGCTATAGAAACACCCTGGTTTCTATACCCCCAACATGCCTCCAGGATAGACGGGACGTCCCACCGATGGCTGCCAGGTGCCTCTGGGTCAGGGCATTGACTCTTGTGTCTCCTGACACCTGTCCCCAAGGCACCTGAAGAGCGAGATCCCGCCTTCCCATCCGGAGCCGCCGTGGGTGGCCGGGCGAGAGGGAGCCGGAAGCCAGGTGTCACACACTCGGCTTTGTGTCTGGGCAGCTCTGTCTACAGAGGACAACAGCCAGGTCTGCTGGGAGCACCAGGGTCACCACTGCCCCCGCGGAGGGACAAGTGTGGGTACCCAGAGAGCATAGCCTGAGGTAGCAAACAGTGAACCCCGTTATCCAACTGCAATGCCATGTGATGTGCCCAAAGCCAGACCACACGGAGCCATCCCAGTGAAGACCAACCTACAGGCCTGTGGATGTCCAGCACCGAGCCCTCCTGGGATCTCCATGGCCCTCTTAGCGGGGACAGGACTGGGGCCACTCGGAAGGTTCTCTGAGGCAACGCGGAGCCTAAGGCAGCAGCCCTCCCTATACCTGCCTCTCAGGAGGAAGAAGCCGTCGGAACTGGGGCCCCCTCCGCATCCCGGGGTGACAGTCCCCCAAGGCTCAAGCCCAGCCCGGGTGACACAGAACCCTCCAGGCCACTCCTCAAACTCCCCGCTTCACCACTGAACACATCCTCCCTTGGTTCTTTCCGTGTTGGCCCCATCCCTCCCAGAGAAGGCAGCAGGCTCCCTCCTGACTCCCGAGCTGTGCGCAGGGCCCAGAGGGCACGTCCGGGAAGGCCCCCGCCTGGCAGCCCGGAGGCCGCAGGGAGAAGAGGTGGTTCCGGGGGGGCGGGAGGCCCCGGACCCCTTGCCGCCGGGGCCGGCTCCAGTTACACCCAGTGGCCCACCAGCTGCGCCCACAGCCGCCACCCTTCTGTTACCAGGCCGCGGGGTCAGAGGGCAGGGGCGCGGGCAGCACCACGGAGACTCGCGTGTTGGACGCGCTGAGAGCCCGCGGCCCGCCTGAGGCTGCCCGGCGGCCGCGGGGCTCTAAGCCCTTGCGGGCCGGGTCCCTGAAGTTCGGGCGGGCCCGGGCCTGCACCTGTCAGCCCCCCGCGGAGGCTGGGCCCGGGGGCCAGGCGTGAGGTAGACGGTGCCTCCCCGCCGGGCCAGGAGGGGGGCGCCCCGGCAGCCCCGGGGGCGCGGTCAGCACGGCCGGGCGGCGCAGAAGTCCAGCTCCTGGGGCTTGCGGCGCAGGTCGCAGCGGTCCCGGGCCAGCAGCCGCCCACCGGGCCCCAGGCACTGGAGCGCCCGCCGCTTGAACCCACGGCCGCAGCTCTTGGAGCAGGGCGACCAGGCCCCCGGCTGCCAGGTGGCGCAGGGCTCGCCGCAGGCCCTGGTGTCCGCGGGCCGGGGCGCGGGGCGGCAGGCGGAGGGCGGGCGCGGGCCCGTGGGTCCCCGACAGTCCACGGGGCGCCTCTGCAGGCCACCGCCGCCGCAGCTGGCCGAGCAGGGCCCCCAGCCGCCCGCCACCCAGCGCCCAGCCGCCCGCGGGCCCTGCGGCTCCACCTGGTTGGAGAGGCCGGGCGCGCCGTCCAGCAGGCCCGGGGCCCCGCGGGGCTCGGCGGGCGCCCTGTCCTCCCGCGGCTCCTTGGGCAGGTAGAAGGAGTAGCGCACGCGGGGCGGCGTCATCTTGCCCACGGAGAGCACCTCCACGGTCAGGGGCTCCAGGATGGGCCGCGAGGCCTGCAGGCTCTCCACCGCCGTCCCGGTGCCGCTGTAGCGCAACAGGCTGCCCTTCACCACCAGGTCCCGCTCCACGGCCGACACCACGAAGTGCCCGTTGAGCAGGTACTTGCCTTGGCTGTTCTTGAGCGCCAGGTAGTTGTCGTCGCCGATCAGGCCCTTGTAGCCACGCTGGCGGATGTCGATGCTCGAGGCGCCCGCGGGGATGGCCACCACAAAATTGTAGCCGTGCCTGGGGTGGGGAAGGGGGCTGCGCCTTAGACACGGGGGGCCTGAGGCCCTGGTTCCCCTCTAACGTCAGAGCTGATGCCCCCTGCACGGGTCACCAGGCCCACAGAGCACATCGACGCCCCCCCGCCCGGGTCAGGGGGCTCAAACAGGCTGCATGAGACCGTCACACAGCACCTAAAGCCACCGACCCTGGCTGTACCGCCCCGTGACCTTTTGTTCAGTACATTTACACTGGGGTGAATTATTTTTAAATAACAACATTTATGCATTTGAGAGGGAAAGAGCAAGAGCAGAGGGAGGGGCAGAGAGAGAGAGAGAATGTCAAGCAGACTCCCAACTGAGCTCAGAGTCCCAACACGGGGCTCGATCTCCTGACTCGGACATCATGACCTGAGCTGAAACCAAGACTCCGGCTCTCGATCGACTGCGCCACCCGGGCGCCCCTGTACTGTGCTGAATTCTAAAGCAGAGGCTAAGCACAGCTCTTGGAGCCAGGTCCACCCCCACCACTGGCCTAGCTGTTGGCCTTGGAGAAGACGGTTGCCTCACCTATAATATGGAGACCATAATCACACATCCCTCATTAAAAGCACATAAAGCCGATGGCATGGCACCTGCCACCAGGTAAGCACTGTGAGGAGGAGGAGGAGGAGGAAGAGGAGGAGGAAGGACAGAAGGGAACTCTACAGGCCCTGAGACAAGGCTGGGATGAGACGCAGTGAGACACACTGGCTGGGGTCGGGCACCCAGATCAAGCCTTGGCTTGAACACCAGCTCCCTGGTGGCTCAGGCAAATCAGTCTCTCTGGGTTCCCGTGTCCTCACCAATACAATGAGGGGCTCAAACCAGATGATTTCTAAGGCTCCTTCCAGCTCCACCAATCTATGAAGGGAGCACCTGCCATTTAACCAGTGAAGCGAGTCTGGGAGTGTCTACCTTTAATTTTCCACTTGGCCTCCCCCTCAGATCCCTGCGAATGCCCTCCACTTGCAGTGCCCCAGTTCCCCAAAAAGCTGCCCCACTAGGGGCCCAGCAGAGGGCACTGTGTCCAGAGGGGGCAGCAGAGACTCCTGGACTGCCACCTAGGCCTTGGACTCCCAAGTTCTCAGAGCCAATCATATCCCTGCTCAACTGAGACCTCAGGGGCTCTGCTACTTCCAGAGCAAGGGTCAGGACTTTCCAAGGAGCACATTCCTCCTGAAAATAAAAGGGAATGTGCTGGACCTCAGAAAGCCAGGAGCCCCGGGCTGTGCAGGTAGAAATAAGAGAGGACTAGAGATGTTCCTTCAGCTGAGTCTGCACACATCTCCCAGGAAGGGGGACTCCCTCGGTCCTAGCCACTCACTCCACTGTTGATTGCCATTCTCACCTCAATCTCATTCCTGGTCAGGGCCTCAGCCTCAGTGAGACATTGTCTCCAAGCATGTTCTGTTTTATGATCATCATCATGAACATCTAGTGAGCATTTATTATGCACCAAGTACGACACTAAACACCTCACTTGGATTAATACCCTTAATCGTCACAACAGCACAACAGAAAATATACTCCTGTCATACCCACTGTATAAGTGAGGAAATGCAGAATTCCAGGGATTGTGCTGCATGCTCAAGGGCATCCAGAAAATGGGGAACTGAGATTTGAACACAGGGGAGTCTTACTCTAGAACTCTAGCTAGACCCTAATGATTATCTATCCAGTGGTGGACTCCCCAAGCATTCATCTCTGCTGGATGGATGGTTGGATGGATGGATGGATGGATGGATGGATGGATGGATGGATGGATGCATGGATGGATGGTTGGATGGATGGATGGATTGATGGATGGATGGATTGATGGATGGTTGGATGGATTGATGGATGGTTGGATGGATGGATGGATGGATGGATAGTTGGATGGATGGATTGATGGATGGATGGATGGATGGTTGGATGGATGGATGGATGGATGGATGGATGGATGGATGGAAGAATATCAGTTACAGAAAAGTCCAGGTGGCCTCTACAGCAAGGGCACTGCCCGTTTACCCTGGTCTAACCCCAGTTCCCACCCCTTGGGGGCAGCTCCACTCAGCCCTCTTCCCCCCTCCCACTCCAGGTCCCAGAACTCACATGGGCTTGGTGAAGAGGCCTGTCACCTTCTTGCAGCTCTTATTGTCACCCCCACACACCCCACACTTGTCGAATTTCTTCTTGGAGCCCAGGTTCCCGTCGCAGCCAGCCTTGATGCACTTGCCTTGGACACAGACCGAGGTGGAGTCAGGAGTACATGGCGTACCATCCACCACCTGCAGTGCCCCCCGGAGGTTGGGGGTAGAAAAGGAGAGGGAGGCAGTTCAGCCGGATGCACCCCCACAAACTTTCTCTCTGTTTTGCTCCCCTGCCCCTCGCTCACTCACCTTGGGTGCCAACACGTAGAAGTAGCCGGTGCCATTGGCTCGGCAGATGAGCTTGCACTTGTCCTGGGGAGAAACGCCGGAGTACTTGGGCACCCACGCCACGGCAAGGGTGAGCCGGTTGGTGCTATGGTTATAGCCATTGAAAGCCTCACACTGCTCCTCCCGGAAGCTCTTGCCAGAAGCTGAGGAGGAAGGAAGCACAGGCAGGAAGCTAAAGGGAGGGGTGGTGAGGGAAGAAGGCAGAGAGAGCCCTCCCCAGGGTGCTCTCACCCTCAGCCGAGTTATCTCATCCCCGACGCCCCTCCATCTCAAAGAACTAAAGTAGGCCAGGACCAAAGGATGCAGGTCACAGACAATCCTGCATCCCCCCCACCCAGGGCACTGTGCACCCTCCACGGTAAGCTGGCCTTCAATTCCCTCTATAACAGGTACCCCCAAACAACTGGGGGCCATCAGACCTTTCAGGAATCTTTTGAAACTATTTTCAGAATGTTACTAAATGGACAACATGAAGTATATAGGTTACAAACAATACCCACTATACAGATACACAACTATCAGTGTATGTTGAAACGTATTTGGGATATTTGCGCCTCCTTGTTCACCCATTACATGGCAAGATTCAATAATGAGTCTAATAACCACTGTCATTTTCAGGTAGCAGTGAGAATAAATGACATTCTGAGAAATCCCAACAACTAAACTGTCATGTGAAAATATCCGTGATTTCTACTGGCGACAGCCCCAGCTATGGCTACTAGTATTACAGTTTGTTGCCCAATTAAAAGAAATGAGGCGGGGGCTTCCACCACCATGGCCGACCCCGACCCCCGCTACCCCTGCGCCTCCATCGAGGATGACTTCAACTATGGCAGCTGCGTGGCCTCCGCCAGTGTGCACATCTGAATGGCCTTTCTAAGAAAAGTCTACAGCATCCTTTCTCTGCAAGTTCTCTTAACTTCAGTGACAGCTTCTTTTTTTTTATACTTTGAGTCTGTACGGACATTTGTACATGAAAGTCCTGCCTTAATTTTGCTGTTTGCCCTTGGATCTTTGGGTTTGATTTTTGCATTGACTGTAAACAGACATAAGCATCCCCTTAACCTGTACCTGCTTTTTGGATTTACACTATTCGAAGCTCTGACTGTGGCCTTTGTTGTTACTTTTTATGATGTCTATATTATCCTGCAAGCGTTTATACTGACTACTGCTGTATTTCTTGGTTTGACTGTATATACTCTACAATCTAAGAGAGATTTCAGCAAATTTGGAGCAGGACTGTTTGCTGTTTTGTGGATTTTGTGCTTGTCAGGAATCTTGAAATTATTTTTCTATAGTCAAACATTGGAGTTGTTCTTGGCTGCTGTGGGGGCCCTCCTTTTCTGTGGATTCATCATCTATGACACACATTCATTGATGCATAGGCTGTCACCTGAAGAGTATGTATTAGCTGCCATCAGCCTTTATTTGGATGTCATCAACCTGTTCCTGCACCTGTTGCGGTTTTTGGAAGCAGTTAATAAAAAGTGATTGAAAGCAGTATATGGAAACAGATTCATTAAGTAATAAAGTTTGAGATATAATTAAAAATAAAAAAATAAAATAAATAAAAATAAAAGAAATGAGGCATTTTAGATAGAGTGGTCAAAAATACTCGATCTCTAATTGAAGGAAATAAAACATGTTAAATTTTTTTAAAAAGGCGAGTAACAATAGAGAGGCAATCTCCTTCCCACCCAAGTTCATGGACCCTGGCTAAAGAATCCCTGCTTATGGAGATGGGCTTGTGAGTACTTAACTAAGAGGCCATTCGTGTGTCATTCCCTTGGGCCACTTAGGGACCCAGCCTCAGCACCAGGAAGAAAACATCCCCGCCGAGAGGAGTGGGCAAGGAAGTAGTGATCCCAAGAGGCCTCTGCTCCTCTGCACTTCCAGACTTTGCCCTGGGGGAGAGAGCCTTGACTGCAGTAATCTGCGGCCAAGAAGGGGGGGGCGGTGGCAGGAAGAGGCTCTCCCCTCCTCACCTGAGCTGGGGCAGGGCTCCAGGTTGCAGGATCGGTATTTCACTCTCACTCCCTCGCAGTACTTGCCTCCGTTAGCGGGGGTGGGGTTGCTGCACTGCCTCCGGGCCAGCTGCACGCCCCCGCCGCAGGTGCGTGAGCAGGCGCCGTACGGCTCCCACTTGGCCCAGGAGCCGTCCACCTGGGAGAAAGAGCCTGTCATGCTCCCGCAGGGCTTAGGGTACGCATCCAACCCCTTCAGAGCGGCCAGGCGGCTGCAGCCCCCTCCACCCCGTCCCACCGCAAAATCCACCGTCTCACAAGGGAAAAATGATGGGCAAGGGGTCAGCATACGCAGCGCCCACGCAGCACCTCGCCCCGATAATTAGCAAATGCCAACCGCATCCCGCTCTAAGGGAGGCCGCTCAGGAGAGGAGCCGTCATGGGCTGTGGCGTCAGGTGGCCAAGCTCTGTCATCGCCTCTGCCCCCACCATATGCGAGGTCTTGAGCAAGCAGTGAAAGCTCCTGAAATCTCAGGTGCTTCACCTGCCAAAAATGGGGCAATGCTCAGGTGTGCGATCAGACGACGTTTAAGTGATGCAACGTGTACGAAAGCTCCTAGCACTGCGCTTACCACCGAGCCAGAGTTCAAAGTTCCTCCTCACCTATTGTTAGTGGAGTTACAAGAGTCTCTAAATCTAAGGCAGAGGCAGCCCCCAGCCTTGCCAGAAAACCTCGTTGCCATAGATATCTGAGTATTTTTATTTGTAAATGTTCCACAATCCCGACTCTCCCCAGATCTTCAGCTCAATCAGAGGCTGAACTTGAGACAGTTTCGCTGTCAGAGGCTCTAGTGTTTGTGCTCGGAGGAGGCGGAGATGGGAGACTACAAAGCAATCCTCCAACTCGATTTGGCTTCGGGGTGAATTATGCAGCGTGGGTTCATTTTTTCAGAGGGTGGAGAAGGGATCGAAAATGTCTAGTCTTCATTATGTTTTTCTCAGGATGCCAATAAAGCGTGTTTCCATCCCCTGAGCACACATCAGTCAGGCCACGGAGGAAGCAGCCCAGTTGGACAAGCCTGGGATTAAAGTGCTGTCATACATCATCCCAAGCGACTAACCTGCGTGGAGCTAATCAGGAGCTGGCTGCGTGTCGTCTGAATACAACGTATGCACACACGCAGCGTGGTTCCTCTAGCTGCCCTTCTGCGGGATCGCTCCTGCCCCACTGTGTCAGCAGGTCTCTCGTCCAGTGAAAGAAACACTTGGCGACAGCCCTGCTTCCTCCTTCGACCGGCGCCCCACCTAATTCCAGCCTTTCATGTCCGAGGAGGACACGTCTACATGTGCTCCTTCCGCCTCCCTCCTCAGTGCCTTGCAATATGGGTTTGGTGCCCATCACAGGGGGCAGCTGCTCGCTCAGAGGTCTGAGATGACCATCCCCACACTGCAAGAGTCTATGCTTAGACCTTGTTGTCACCAGTACTGTCTCCCCGGCTTCTGGGGTGGTGTTGTTGCTGTCTTTAGCCTTTTAGCCTGGTCTCACTTCTTCCAACTGGTTCCTACAGAAAACATCCCACGGAAAACTCTCCTGCCCTGCTTTGTGCCATTCATTCACCCAGTGTTTGTTGAATTCTTACTACACGTCTGGCACCACGTGCAGCAAATCCCTGCCCTCAAAGGGACTGCATGCCCTCAGAAGAAAATAAAAAGAAGCCTGTGCATATAGAATGTCACGAGAGGTTAAATGCAGGTGGGAGAGAGGGAGGCCCACCAATGGGCCTTGGTGAGAAGAGCTGCTCTCGTTACAGGGGATTGTGGAGGCTTTGCTGCAGAGGTGATGGTTGTGCAAAGGCCTGAGAGAAGTACGTGAGGGAAGTGTGCAGATATGAGGGGAAAAACATTCTAGGCAGAGGGAGGATTGCAAAGACGCTGCGGAGGGACGAGCCTGGAAGAGAAGCAGGAGGTGAAGGCAGAGATAAGGCTCACCATCCCGAGCACGGAATAAAGCCCCTGAAGGGCTCTCTGAATATGTGGCATGACCTGACTGACGTTTTAAAGGATCTTTCTGGCTGCTATGGTGGGAACAGTCTGTGAGAAGGAAGGCCAGCAGCAAGGAGATCAGCGAGGGTGCAAGAGCAATAATTCAAGGAGGCTTGGTGCAGGGTGACAGCAGATGAAGATGGCAGAAAAATGGCTCAATCCTGGCTCTATTTTAGATAGAGTCAACAGGAACTACTGAAATATCGGATGGACGGATGCGAGAGAAAGAGGGTTGGCACGAGCAATGGGAAGACGTTGTTGCTAAAGCAAGTTCAGGACAAGTGATCAGAAGCTCGGTCTTAGAGAGGTCGTGTTTAGGATGCCTCTTGGTTCTCCGCATGGAGGCATCAGGATTCAGTGAGGCATGCAAGTCTGTAGTTCAGGACAGAGGTCTGGGCTGGAGATACAGATCTGGGGGACTTCAACCAATAAATGTAAATGGTACTCAAAGCCTTTGGTCTAGATGAATCCCCTAAGAGGTCAGTGCGACGGCGACAAGGGCTAAGGACAGCGCCACGATGCCCAACACTGGAAAAGCAAGCGTATGAGGAAGACCCAGTGAATGGGGACCCGGGGGAGCAGCCAGTAAGAGAGGACGGAAACCAAGACACCGTGGAGCCTGTGTTCCCGGGGGGGGGGGGGGGATAATCAGCTGTGTCAAATGGCGCTAACAGGTCAGGCAATATGAGGAATGGTAATCAATCCCTGACTTCAGCGGTTGTGGAGGCCATTTGGCGACCTTAGTGAGAGTTATTTTTAGAGGAAGAGCAGGACTGAAAGCCAGACTGGAATGGGCTCCAGAGAAAAATGGCAAGCCGGGAACTGGAGAGAGCAATTTCATACCACTCTTTCCAGGAACTTTGTGGTCAAGGGAGTCAGAGAGATAGATTGTGATTTATGGAGAGGAAGTAGGATCAGGAGTTTTGTTTAAGGTGGGAGGAATTACAGCAAGTATGTATCCTGATAGGAATGATTCAACTCAAGCGAGGGGAAATCTAACACTGCAGAGAGACGGAGGCATTAAGGGAGCGCTTTCCTTGACTGGAGGGGATAATATCCTAAGTGCAAAGCCCAGGGGTGGGCCTCCGGTGAGAGCGTGGACAGCTCATCCATCGCAAAGGAGGCAAGGTGGAGACCGCAGGCACAGAAGCCGGGCGGACGGCGGATGTGGCAGTGGGGGTTCTCTTCTGATTACTTGATCGTTTCTTTTTTCCTGATGAGATAGGAAAAAAGGTCACTGGCAAAAGTGAGAATGAGGAGAAAGAATGGGTAACGGAGGAGGGAGGCGAAGGCGTGACACGATCGGGTAGGACGTTGGGAGGGGGAGTGCAGTAAAGCTAATAAAATAGGATATGACGCCTGAGCAGCATTGAGCCCACCTCCAGTGAGACCACCGAGCACGGTCGCGTGTCTTCCTCCAGCCACACTCACCTACACTGGCGCGCTCAAATCGGTGGCAGGTGGATTCCACTAAGGCAGTGGCTTATCCCAGCGAGGACAGCAGAGAGAGGCAGGGGCGTGGGAGCCGTGAGTGAGGGAAAGAGGGACCTTAACAGGGGCTGAGCTGTGGAGTCGCAGCTCAAGAAGAAGGCTGGTGAGGGCGAGAGAAGAGCACGCGGGCCTGAAGAACTGCTGGGGCCCAAAACTAGAGGGCTGGACCACAGGGCTTTGGTAGTCAGAGTGTGATTCTTCTAACTGAGATCCTGGGGGTGCGGGGGGGCAGGGAGGCTGCATGATAGTAAGATAAGCTTTGTGCCCTGACCCGGGCTGATTAGGGCGCTGTCCTCCGGGAAGGGCCAGGGTGGTGAAGGGATTGTCCAGAAGAGAGACTGGGGACATAGTGGATTTTGCTGCTGATGGGCTGTCTTTCCACAGGCTCCTCCGATCACACTTCCTATATCCAATATCCTCCTGGGCAACGTCTTTATCCCCTAGACTCGTTTTCTGAAGAGAAGGAGCTGATGACGGCTGGCCTGTCCTCAGGACCTTCTAGTTTAAACCTGCCAGCCTGGTGGTCAAGGCAACCCCAGACTAGCCCTAAACCATGCCCCCAAAGATCTTTCCCATGCAGTCCTGGCCCGTCCACCCTTCCGGCTTGCCCCACCTCCCTGACTTTGCTCCATCTCTGCCTGATGAGATCATACTCATCCCTCGAGACTCTTTCCAAATCCGACCTCCTCATCAAAGTTTGTTCAGACCTCTCTAATCACCATTAATCTCTCATCCCTTATGCTCCCATGACACGTTTTCACACTTTGGTCCTGACACAGAACACACACCTCTCTGTGTCTTGGATCTCAGTGACATTTCGAGCTTCCCCACTAGACTGTGACCCCACTGAGACACGACCCAGGTTTTCTTTCTTTTTCCGACTACCTCACACAGTTCTCTAAATACAGTGGGCTGGTGCCCAATAAATGGCTAAAGGTCTAATTAAATATATGTTTCCAAAATCCAGAAAAAGATTTTACATACTTGTGTACCAAACCCAGCTCAGGGCAGCCTATAAAGTGCTGGCGAGCGCTTATTTATTATATTGCCTATTCGTACGTAAAACCCGCAGTCAGGCCGGTCTTGGCAGCCAAGGCAGGGGTGGGGGAGGGATCATCGTCACCGGGATCAAGGGACAGGATGGACTTCTTATTCCCATCTGACAAAGTCCCAAACCCTTTGCAACCCCAACCCCAGACCTGAAGGTTTTATTATATCCAGAGAACATGTGGGGTTTGGGATTTGTTCTTATTCAACTGTTATTCCTTTTTACCAGGAAAAAAAAAATAACACCTTTGCTCTATTATGTTTCAGCTTCAAAAAACAATCATGACAAAAACCAAAGCTAGGTTCAGGATGTAGCAAATCACTGCAGCTTGCCCAGGATCTGCTTCCTTTCAGGTCTGAGCCTGGTTCACCTCTGGCCCAGAGCTCCCGGGACACAAAACATGCTCAGAAACAGCTGATAAGGGAAGGCTGGAAGGAGCCAACAAATGAGGAATGTTGAATGTCTAGTGTTGGGCTTTGGGTTCTGGGCTCCTCCCCTGGTAGGATGAGGCCCAGAGCTCAGGGCTGGGCCCCCTGGCGCCCGCTGAGAGAAGGCTTCACCAAGTTCTCTGACCTACCATATATGTCTTGTCTCCAGTCTCAGAGTTAAGAAGGGGAGAGGACCACAGGCAGGGAAACAGAGGCACAGTGCACGGTGTGATGCAGTCCCAGCCACACAGCAAACCCATTCCCCCCGGAGGCCTCCAGGTGCACCCCCCGCATCCCAGCGGCCCCCCTGCGAAGCCCCAGCACACTCACCCTGTACTTATTAAGGTTATGTCTCTCCACGCAGGTCCCCTTGAGGCAGAACTTGCCGTCCCCGCAGCTGGTGCCATCTGCCCAGGGGAAGTGGCGGGTCTGACACACCATCTGCCCCTTTGCCTTTCCCGTGCACCACAGTTTGGTGCAGTACTGCATGTAGGGACAGGGCTTCGAGCCCACGCCAAAGGCCAGCTCGCACTGCTGGCTCAGGGTGTAGCTGGCACCCGGCAGGTCCTCAGGCAGGGAGATGGGCTTGCTGGGTGCGTCCAGGAGGCAGTCGCCTGCAGGGAGCCAAGGGAACTCGTGAGAAACGAGTTGAGAAAGGTGAGGTGTGGCTAGCCCAGAGTCTAACTGGTAGGGAGACGATGAAGCGAGGGCCAGTGGAATGGACCCCCTTGAGGGCCCGACTCTTTGGGGTCATGCACACCTTAGGTAACAGAGGACAGGTCCACTCACTCCAGTGACAGCCCCGCAATCCCTCTTCTGTCATCCTGGCTTACCATGCCCGCTGTCCAGGAAGTCGGTGATGATGGCAGCGCTGCAGGCCGACCAGGGGTTGGCCCGGTCAATCTGGATGAGTGTTGGGGACATCATGTGGTTGGCTCGGAGTTTCCCAAACACCTCCTCACACACTTTCACATTGTCATGGGGCATGTTGAACACGTGGCCTGCGGGGTGAGGCAAGAGGACTCAGAGGGCAGAAGGATGCGGGCTATGCAGTTTGCAGAGGAGGGGGGAACAGCCAGGGGAGCGAGAGAGCCCGTGTCAGCACTTTTCAGGCTGGTCATTTCCACCCAGTGACAGACTGCTTTGCAAATGTCAAGACGGTGTTCTTGTGTTCTCTGTCCTGTCCATCAGGCTGTGGGGCTCAGTGAGGACAGCAGTGCATTTAAAATATTTTCCCCTCAGTGCCTAATTGATGAGATACTCTGCTGAGTCAGACAATACCGCTGGCCAACTGGGCTGGGGCAATTGGAAAAAATAAAACAAAGCCATTGCTAAGACAAACTCTGACCGTAAGAAAGGATCCCTAAGGCTTCAGGACGTGAGGAAGCAAAGACAAATGTCTATCCCTTGCCCAAAGCACCCAGTACAGACCCGGAAAGACCCTCGAGGGTCGCTCTCCTCCCTCCACCCAAGAGCCCCCTCTATCCTTACCCAGCTCATGGGCAGTGGTGAAGGCTGATGGAAGCCCATCATCCTCGATCACAGAACAACTTCTCTTGGGGTCGCATATAGTGCCCACATCAGCCATGCCCAGCGTGTCACAGGTGGTGGCCCCACACAGGTCCTGCCGGGGTGGGGGGAGAAGCAGAAGCCAGCCAGAAATTAGTGACAGGTACAGAAGGGACCTGAAGGAAAGTAAAGGCATCCTATGGGATGTTCAGCTCACCCCCATTCCCAGCCGAACCAAGACCAGCACCGTCCTAGCCAGGTCCTTTCTCCCAGGGGGTTGCAGGGCTATTCATGGAATCAACCCGGGCTGAGCAGGGAGGGCTCAGGAAGAAAGCCCTGTGGCTCTGTGAGAAGATTCAACCCAAATCCTACTCGGAGATCCTGTGGGAAGATACTAGGAGGTACGGAATTAAACCCACAAGGCCATTGCTTTATATAGAGGCAGATTTCCAAAGCAGAAAACAGTGGGTTCCACAGCTGGGTGAGGTTCTGGTCATGGCTAACCGAGGCAGGTGGGGGCGGAAGGCAAGTGTGTTCCTCATCCAGAGTCAGCCCTGAGCAGTCTCAGTCCTCGCTGAGCGACTGCCTTTGGACAACCATGAATTAAACTCAGATTCTCAGCCAAAAAAGGTCACGGGCCAAGGACCCACCCAAGCCAGAGATGTGGCCTCCTTGGGCTGGAAGGAGGCTGAGTCAGGTGGTTACAAGCTCCTACCCAGACATAGCTCAACTGGCTGCAGAAGCTCAAGGGGGCCATCGGCTCAGCGGCCGCTAGGAAGAAAAAATAAATTAAATGGATGGCCACCTAAGACAGTCCCTCTTTTGGCATTAAAACTCAACTTGCGGCAGAAGCTAGGACTTCCTGCAACAACCCCAATGGGAAGCACTTCCAGGAAAGTGCAAGGGCAAAATGGGGTACTGGGAGTGGATATCTCAATGAACTTATTGACTATTACGGGCCAGCAATGCACCTAGGTACATACCTTAAGAGCTCAGGGGTTAGAAATGGGAGAAGAAATTCATCACAATAGAGAAAACACTGCTGAATCGGTGATACTGTTATTCTCTTCATTACATCCTTGCCTTTCTTTATACTTAACAAGCAACTGCTCTATGTATCATCTCACTCAATCCCCACGACAGTGTCAGAAGGCACATATATTATCATATGTATTTGTCCAAGGTGAAAACTGAGGCTCATGCTCATAGTTAATCATGGTGATGATTTATTAATGCTGACATCATGTGCGGACTCTGCATGCATGACCTTGTTTCATCCTCGCAACATCCCACTGGAAGAACGACTGCTATTATCGCCTTCCACAGACAAGGAAGCTGAAGCTGAGAGAGGTCCAAGTCGTGGAGCAGAAACATGCACTGGGGTCCGTAGGACTGGGTATCAGCACTCTTTCCACCGCATCACAGCTGATTGCTCAGCAGCTCCTAAGTCAACTATCCAGAGAAAGAGCTGTGTGTGTTCTCCGTGGGAGCCAAGGTGTTCCCGTAAACACACCCAGAGCTGTTCTCAAGTTCAGTTCTCTTTAGGGCTCTGCGCACGTGTGTGTGCATGCACATGCTGACACGGGGGGAAGGGGGAGCAGCAGAGTTAGTGGGGGCCGGGGGCAGCGGAGGAAAAGTGGTCATAGTACACAAAATCAGCAAAATTTAATCCAGGGCATTCAAAAGTTTACCACCTGAGCAGTCAAACTTGGCTTCCCACGGTCAGGTGATAGTCACACCTCCTAATGAGTTAACAGTTTCTCTGGCCAAAGAACTGAGAGGGCGATCAGATTCCAGAGTACATGGGTCAACGAGGAGCAAGGCGCGCCCTGCCTTCACCTGCTGTCCTTGCCCGTGTGTGGCACGTCTGCCCCTTCTGGGAACCCTCGGGGTGAACCTCAAATTCCCTCTCTTGCAAATACTCCTCCTCCTCCCTCTCCAAAGGCTCACTCTTCCAGAAAGTTCTCGTTCCCCCTAGAGTTCTGAAACCTAGAAGAGAACTGCTATCAAAACTTGGGGTGGGGGGGTAGTTCACCTGACAAGCACTTTAGAGAATATGACTAGAGGAGGGGGATTGGGTCACACAGATCAGCCTGTGAATGGAGGGAAGGGAGGTAGGAGACAAAGAGGGAAGGAATGGAGGTTTGCATGGGGGCAGGGGGCAGGGGGCAGAGGGTGAGGGAACTGGGCCCATGTGTCCCTGGACACTGCAGTATAGCATCCCCACTAAGGCAGGAATCTCTGAAAACTCTCGTCTGGGGGTCACAGCCCATAGAGCCCGTAGGACAAACCATGACACTGTTCTGGGGCCACCATGTGCACTCACTGCTGGCTTTGTGTAGGAGAAGGGGCCTAAGAACCAAGAAGCCTAGATTCTGGTCCTGGACCCACCACCAAGTAGATGTGCGACTTTGGGCAGGCCACGTCTCTTTTCTGGGCCTCCGTTTCCTCCTCCAGAGAAGGGCCAGTTCTCAACCAGAACCCAGACTGGACCAGTGCCTTCAGCCTCTGCTCCTGCCCCGATCCCAGAGTGCTCAGCCCCATCTGGCCCTCTAGGTTATAAAGGAACACAAAGAATGATATACTTTTAGAATGGAAAGAGCCCTAAGGATGATCTTGTCTACTAACCCATGAAACTAACTCCCAGAAAAGGGAAGGTCACCCACATGGACACTCAGAACCCTCGCCCTTGCCCCACTCAGCAGAAATGGTTAGACCAGATCGACAGCTCAGCCCGGCCTGGAAGCAGCCACTGGACCTCCACTGCCCAGCAGCCCGCCTCTGCCGCTGGCAGGTCCGTAAAGCCAGAAACCTCCTTCCTCTCGGGGAGGGTGGATTCTCTGGAGTGAAGACATGCAGCTGCAGGCCCTTCCTGGCCAGGAGCAACCTGTTCTTTCCATCAAGAAATCCCGGTTTCCCTGGATCAAACGGAGAGGAACAAGGAAGGAGCCCGCATATTTCCTGAGGGTCAGGGTGTAGCCGAGAGGAGCCGGCCTGCAGTAACCAGTGTCTTCACCATGGGAAGATGCAGCTGTTTGGGGTCAGAGGCTCGGCGTGCCCCTCTTCCCCCAGTCAGGGACTCAAATGAGGAATCGCTGGACCTCAGTTCTTTGAACGCCTACAGGCGGGTGTGCGGGGCAAGGCAGTGCCTCATTTGCGGCCCTGCATGTCTCCACCCTTCTGGAATGAACTCAGATGCACTCAAATTGCTTTAACCTCTTCAGCTCAGGCACTTGTCTCCAGAAATAGAAACTGTTCTGGTTCCTCCTGCCTGGAGGGTGTAGGCACTTCCCACCCAACCCCTACCTGCCTCACTATTTCTGGTAATTTGCCCCTTCTCCGTGAAGCTGCGACGGCTTTTCCAGACGACCCAAGAATCAGCTTGGCCACGAACCTAGTCCTCTCAGATTAGTGTTTTCCAACCGTCCCTTTTCATAAAATAATTTAGGATTGGAGCCACAATTTGAGAGCGAGCGAGCAAGAAAGGAAGCACCTCACAGTGGTCCGATCCACATTCACCCTGCTTGCTCCCTCCACGCCCCACTATGACTCCCCACGGCCCCCCCTTCCCCTCTCCTCTCATCTCCCCTGCCATGTACCAAAATGCTCAGATTTTCCAGCAGGACAGGGTGGAGGACCCACAAAAATCAAGCACGTTGACTTTTTTCTTTTTAATGTAGGATACGTGTTCTCATGTAGCCAACCTCCTACTCATAATGAACTCCTAGGCCTGTGGGCCAAGATCATCCTCATGGCCACACCATAGCATCCAAGTCTCATATTCATACAGTGTCAGAGCCACCCTCTCATTCTGCAGATGGGGAAACCAGAGCTCGTGGACTAATATTGCTCACCCAAGGCCACACAGCTATTAACCAAAAAAATGGGGAACTGAACCCCGTGTCTTTAGACACCAAGGCCAGCAGCAGTGGTCTTTGATCTGAACCATAGCACGCTAGTTAGGATATCATAATTACCATTGAAAACCACCCTGCATTAGTATTAAGACTGTACCTTTAACTTGTTTCCCATCTGAATCTCTGTCATGCATCACTGTATTTCCTTGTCCAACCCCAAATCCACTTCTGTTTGTAATCCCCAAGCAGGGGAGGGCCTCGCTTTGCTAGGAGTAAAAAAAATCTAGCAATTCTGGGTGTCTGGGCAACGTGACTAAGGATACCTGGTGAAGAAGAGAACACACCCTGGTCACGTCCATAAGCAGGTTCAGTTTTCACCAGAATATAAATTCCTCAAGACGTTCAAGATGTATTGAGGTAACCAAGACAAGAATTACCTCAATGAGGAAGAAGAGAAATCCGAAGCTCACCGGAAGACCAAGATTCCTCCAGAAATCATCAGTGCAAGAGAGGATACATACCTAACATAAGGTTAGGAGGTAACAGTGGCTGAGTTACTACTCTGTGCCCAACACTGTTCTAACAGCTTTCCTGTATTAGCTCATTGATTCCTCACAAAGCTTCATGAGAGAGATGCCACTATTAGATCCCATTTTACAGATGAGGCTCAGGGAACGTAAGTTACCAGCACTGGGTCAGTGAGCCCAAGGTTAGACAGAAAGGGAGGGGCAGAGTGAAGGTGGAAATCCAGAAGCACAGCCCCAGAGCTGAATGCTCCCCTTGCTTTGGTACTGCTTCCAGTGGAGATGCACCTCACGCATGGAAAGGCTGGGCAAACTCAGGATGGCAAGACTGTCCACCCCATACTCTCAGCCCCCAAAGCACAGGTTGGCCACTGAGTGGGGAGAGGCCTGCGAGAGACTGGCAGAGAGGAGAATGGCAGGAGTAAGTGCCCAGAACACTCCTAGAGCAATGTCTGCTTCCCGGTTGAGCAAGCTCCTAGCTCCTTGCCCCACACCTGCATTGACACACTGACCCGGCCCTGCCGTGCGCCATGTCTGCTGGCTCCTCGCTGGGGCCTCTCCTTCCTCCAGGGCAAAGACCGATGGCAAAGAGCCAAGAAGAAATGCCAGAAGAACCTAAGACTCCCTCTCCCAGCCCTATAGCCTGACAGCTGAAAATGCTGGATTAATGATCCCCGGGAAGGGAGGCGAACTACCTCAGCAACCAGGGCCACACGCAGTCCTTTCGCTACCGT